GGTGGGGGGTGGGAGGGGGGTTGTAAGTACACCCCACCTTCAACTAAGGAAGACACTCATCGCAAACACGGCTCTGCTCGCTCGCAGTCGACAATTATATTCATTCCTGTACCCATGCTGAATTAATTCACGATCGATCTAATAGCATTATATTAATCACATCGATCGCTAATCGATGTATTTAGAATTACGTGTTGTGCGTTGGCGTCTCTTAATACTCAACTCGTTACGTCAGCGGTGATGCTGACTTTTGCTCGGGGTAGTGATCGGGACCATTGTTGTGTTTATGATTCGGTTTAAAATTACGGTAAAGACAGACTGCGACTAACTATGAATAGGTTATGTTTTAATATGGGTTAATAATTATTATATACGAGAGGGTGAATCAATCGATCAGTTCTTCATTAGTTCGTGTCAATGTTATTATGAATAGATAAAGTTTCATCGGAATAATCACGATCACAGTTATAAGGGATGGAACCCTAATTATTATAATTAACTATTGTATATAAGAGGGTGAGTTTTATACACGGCTGAACACAGCTTTGTTGTAATAGCTGTGTTGAAGGGCTAATATAGTCAGTGGACAAGTTTGATCATGAAAGTTACGGTCATATTTTTGTTGGGATGGATGCAGTCTAACCATGATAGTCATGTTATTACGGATAATCTTAGCTCTACCGTTATATAGCCATGTTCAATCGTATTAGGGAGGCGGGGAAACAGCTTTACCGAATAACGTTTACGATTCACTAGTTCATCTGGTCGAGATAGATTTACCCTGATAGTCAGTGACACGCCGGTGACGTTACCCTGATAGTCAGTGACACGCCGGTGAGGGAGAGCGGTTCCCGCTTTCTACGCGGGCAGTTGGCTGGCGGCTCCATGTGTGTGAAGCTGCGGGAATGTAATTAGGCATTTAATGCTAACGCTGCTTGCGCTAATTCTCTCACGCGTGAGCTGCTGCTGGTAATCATCGTCTGGGTGAATCTCTAGCAAGCTAACGAGTGTTATACTTGCCACGCCGATGCTGCCCCGATCTAAATCTATGTGTCTCGCAGTCGCGTGGTCTCTATTCTCTCTTCTCGTGCGTTCTATCTCTGTCTCCTTCTGTCTCTCGCGCTCTCTCTCTCTTTCTTCCCATCTCTCATCTCTCTCTCTCTCTCTTTATCTATCTCTCTCGCTCTCTCTAGTCTCTTTCTCCGCATCTCTCTCCCCCTCTCTCGCGCGCTCTCTTTCTCACCTTCTCTGCCGTCTTTTCCTCTCTCTCCCTCTCGCTTGCTGTCTCTCTCACGCGCTCTCCCTCTTTCTTTCTTTCTCTCTCTCTCTCTCTCTCGCTCTCTCCTCTCTCTCTATCCCTCTCTCTTTCTCGCTTTCTCTCTCTTTCAATTTCTTTCATTTCTCCTTTCCTCTGTCCCCCCCCTCTCTCTCTCTCTCTCTCTCTCTCTCTCTCTCTCTCTCTCTCTCTCTCTCTCTCTCTCTCTCTCTCTCTCTCTCTCTCTCTCTCTCTCTCTACCAAACAGCTGATCATCAGTAAGCAGGGCTCTTACCCGGCGGCCCCGTGTTCTAAATTTGGTACAGATTCGCTTAGCAGGAATCCACTAAGCACACCATGGGGGAAGGAAACCTACGTGCGGCAGCGCGTGCACACGCGTGCGTGAGGCGGCGAGCGAGCAAGCAAGCGCGCGCGGGCGGCAGCTTCAGGGATGCTAATGCGCCGGCAGTGAGATCCTCATCCGATGGAGCGTCTCAGCTTCCCGCTGCTCGTGAAGACGTCGTCGACGGCACTCGTCGTCGGTACGGCAGCTGCGGACCCGGCTGTGGAGGATGCGCGGCGGGAGGGGAAGGGGTGGGAGTGTTAACGCGGCAGCTATAGGGCGTCCTTATAATCAGATGAGCCGCTTAAACGCTAACGGCGTTATGCTATTAGGGTGAACTTGGCAGCGTCGATGGTGGAGGCGTGTGTGTGTGTGTGTGTGTGTGTGTGTGTGTGTGTGTGTGTGTGTGTGTGTGTGTGTGTGTGTGTGTGTGTGTGTGTGTGTGTGTGTGTGTGTGTGTGTGTGTGTGTGTGTGTGTGTGTGTGTGTGTGTGTGTGTGTGTGTGTGTGTGTGTGTGTGTGTGTGTGTGTGTGTGTGTGTGTGTGTGTGTGTGTGTGTGTGTGTGTCGTG